AATGTCAAAAAAGGCAGACCCCAAGGGTGCAAAACAATCAATCTGGAAAAAGCCTGGGGAAGAACATTTCACACAACAGAAAAGCTGATATGAAGCTTCCAAGGCAGTGAAGGGCTTGGTGTGGGTAAGGAATTGAAAGGAAGCCAGCGCAGCTAAAGTTTCACCAGCCAGGGGAGCAGTGGTTGCAAGTGAGAGAAGACAGGTTGTTAGGGCTAGTTAGGGAGGGCCTGGCGGGGAGATGCAGTCATTCGTGTTTTTAACAAGATGTTCTGGACTGCTGTGTATGGAATGCGTGGTAGGGGCAGGAACAGAAGCAGGCTGACAAGTTAACTGCTATCGTGGTTGACGAAAAATATGACATATACTATATTTGGCATAAAACTCTTTGGAGATTGCATCTTATCAGTATTTTAATGGCATTTCTTCCTTTTTTTTTTTTTTTTGGATTTTTTTTTTTTTTTTTTTGACAGGCAGAGTAGACAGTGAGAGAGAGAGAGAGAAAGAAAGGTCTTCCTTTGCCGTTGGTTCACCCTCCAATGGCCGCCGCGGCTGGTGCGATGCGGCCGGCGCACCGCGCTGATCCGATGGCAGGAGCCAGGTGCTTCTCCTGGTCTCCCATGGGGTGCAGGGCCCAAGTACTTGGGCCATCCTCCACTGCACTCCCTGGCCACAGCAGAGAGATGGCCTGGAAGAGGGGCAACCAGGACAGAATCCGGTGCCCTGACGGGGACTAGAACCCGGTGTGCTGGCGCCGCAAGGCGGAGGATTAGCCTAGTGAGCCACGGCGCTGGCCAATGGCATTTATTTCTAAATCCTAATACTCATTGTCATTTTCTAGAGAATGATGGAAGAGATTCTGAGAGTTTTCCTTTTGTGTTTGAAATAATTAAGTGAGCAGCTTAGTAAGGAAAGTTCCTACTGCTGGACATTAATGACACTTTGTTTTATTCCAGTAAAAGATTTTTGGTGGACTTTTCTTATGAATCATTGTTGAATTATTGGTGTCCATGAAAACCTTTGTTTTTGTTGCTATGTCTGCTAATATATGTGGTTAGTGCTAGAAATACTAGACTAAGTGTGGTCAACCACCAAATGACTTTTTTTTTAAGATTTATTTATTTGCGAGGCAGAGTTACAGAGAGAGAGAGCATGTGAGATCTGCCATCTGACACTTCACTCCCAACGTGGCTGCAATGGCTGGAGCTGGGCTGATCCGAAGCCGGGAGCCAGGAGCTTCCTCCAGGTCTCCCATGTGGGTGCAAGGGTCCAAATACTTGGGCCATCTTCTACTGCTTTCCTAGGCTACCAGCAGGGAGCGGGATTGGAAGTGGAGCAGCTGGGACTTGAATCTGTGCTCTTATGGGATGATGGTGCAGCCTGTGGTGGCCTTACCTACTACACTGCAATGCCAAATGACTTTGTTTTGTTTTGTTTTTAAAGATTTATTTATTTATTTAAAAGGCAGAGTTACAGAGAGGCAGAGGCAGAGAGAGAGAGGGAGAGAAGACCTTCCATCCACTGGTTCATTCCCCATATGGTTCACTCCATATGGCCACAATGGCTGGAGCTGGGCCAGTCCGGAGCCAGGAGCTTCTTCTAGGTGTCCTAGGTGGGTGCAGGGGCCCAAGGACTTGGGCCATGTTCTACTGCTTTCCCAGGCCATAGCAGAGAGCTAGATTGGAAGTGGAGCAGCTGGGACTAGTACCGGCGCCCATATGGGATGCTGGCACTGGAGGCAGTACCTGCTACACCACACCACCACCCCACCCCAAATGAATTTTAAAAATATTTTGTTCATAATATGTGTGTGATTTTTTTTTTTTAGTAGGAGAGATTTCAAATAAAGGCAAAAGCAGAGAGCACGAATCACCATGTATACCCATCATTTAATGTCAGCATCAGTTAGTTTATGGCTGATTTTGGTTCATCTGTACTTCAGATATTCCTCATCTCCCACATTCTGCTTCTTTTTGGGGCAGATTCTGGGTACATCATTTATTTCATCCAAAGGTATCTAGGTAAATACTTTAAAAAGGTAAAGGCTTTTCCACGTTTTGATGTTTCATTTTATCCCCTCATAGAACATCAAATAGGTACCATGTCTGGATGGTTTACATGTGAAAGTCTCAGTTTACATACCTACTGTCCTAGCGTATTTATTAATGGTACCTTTTTCACTTAGAAGCATGTCTGTGTTTAGACAGTAAGTTCTATGGCCACCCCATAAATGTGAAAAAAGTGCTTTCATAGGGCATGTGTAAATGAATTCATTAGTAGCACTTCTGGTATTCTAATAGTCTATCATTTTTCTATTTTCTTTTAAATCAGGAAAGCAAACCCTGGTTTCATTATTTCAAGAAATTATAGACCGGAGTAAAATGCCTCTTAAGTCAGAGAAAGGAAGGACCCTGAAATGTATGGTAAGGAAGGAGGGAATCTGCCGAAGTCTCTTGATTATGCCTGCCTTTTTTCCCCCTCCATTCCATTCTTATGATTTGAGCAGAATTGCAGAGAATATTCTTATGAAAGCAAAAAGACAGGCTTAAACATATGAATCAAAAGGTTAATGTGAATACTTTAGAAATACTGATCTATGTTCTTTGGGATATTTGGTTAACCATTAGTTACAGAAGTTTAGATTATCAAATTTAGTCTTTATCCTGATAGATTTTATTACTTTTTGTTGCCTTTATCAATTGCTCTTAAACCTTTTAGTAACACCAACTTTTTTTTTTTTTAGAGGGATGGAAGACTATCAAACCTTTGATAGATGTGCAGTTTTTTTTGTATTTATTTGAAAGGAAGAGTTACAGAGAGAGGCAGAGAGAGAGAGAGAACGAGAGAGAGAGAGAGAGAGAGAGAGAGAGAGGTTTTTCATTTGCTGATTCACTTCCCAAATGGGTGCAATGGCCAGAGCTGGCTTATCCAAAGCCAGGAGCCTGGGCCTTCTTCTGGATCTCACACATAGTTGCCAAGGCCCAAGTACCTAGGCCATTTTCTGCTGCTTTCCCAGGCCAGGGGCAGGGAGCTGGATCGGAAGTGGAGCTGCTAGACTCATGGCTTTACTCAGTATGCCGCAGTGTGGGCCCCAGTTGTGCATCTTTAATAAAGGTGGAAACTGGTGATTTGAGTGATAAACTGGTGATTTGAGTGATTATGTCTCTGTGAAGTTTAACGTATTTTTACTGCCTAGCCTGTGGCACCTTTGCTGTTTGTTTCCTTCTTATCTCTTAGGCTTAAGGAAGTTTCTTGAGGTCAAGGATTAGGATAGGTCAGGGATTCTGGATTCTCCCAGAGTTACACCCAGCATGTGTGAGATATGTTAAGAGTATGGTGATTATTCTTTGGAAGAAATGATGAACTAATTTGGGACTATTCCTTGGCACAGCATATTATGTGTTACTTCCAGATATGTTGTGTTTGAGGGAAGAGCAAGTGCAAAGCTGCTGTAGCTGTTGGTGTAAAGTCAGGGAAGACAAGAGCACTGGGATTGTTGTTTCAAGATTGATTAGCATGAAATACCCTTTGCTCTGTGCTTTGTTTTCGTAGCAACATGCACTTACCTCCATTTTAGAAGAGTAGGAAACTGAGGGATGATGTCTTATAGTACTTCTACCGCAAAGAACAGGAAGTAATGCCTCTTGTTTGTAAGTATGCTGTTCTTTCTAAAAGATCAATTTACTATTTATATTTTAAGAAGAAGCACATGATGCCTGCTAATGGGAGATAAATGAGAAGCAAACTAGGAAAAATACCTTTTTGTCTCTGGATTACTGCATCTACCTACTGGGTAAAGATCAAAAGAGTTCTCTTCAACTCTAAATTTAACAAATTGAGCTCCTCAGAGGTTTTTATTTTTGTTTGTTTTTTGGTTAAGTAGTTAAAAAAGAGACTTTTATATTAAGAATGAATATGGTTGGATTGGAAGCATTTCTCATTTACAGATGAGGTCTAGATAAGAAATTTTTAGGGCTCTACTGCTGCTCTAGATCTAGTTAAATAGGAGGGGGGTGGGGCAATGTAAATGAAAACTGTTTAGGGCATGTCCTTACCCATATATTTTTTTTTTATTAAAGTACTCATATAAAAAAAAAAAAGGCCTCTAAATTGGTCTTACGCTGCTCTGTAAGACTTACCCCAATGTCTTACCTTGTTTCATTGTAACAAGATTGAAGCATTTCCCAGAAATGTGCTAAGGCCAGGAGGGTTGTTGAATGGGGTCTTTCCAAGACTGATATGGTTCTCTTTCTTTTGCAGGCCTGTTTGTTGGCAATGACATGGATAAAAGGCTGGCATTTATTTCTGTTCTAATCAACTACTACATAACTGTGAATAGAAGCTATGCATATTTGTTGGTCAGCAAAAGCAAGGAACAAGAGCTATGGCATTTGAAAAAGTCCATCTGATTTCAGGGTATTTTTTCCAGGTTTCATCATCAGGGACTTTCTCCCTTCCATCTCAACAACAAGGTGGCACCTTTTACCATTTGATAAAGATTAAGGACATGCTCTTTGGCCAACAACCAGAACTTAAAATCTGCTGGAAGAGGGTCAGAGACCATTTCAGTTGCAGCTGAGGAAAATGAAGTTTCCGTTTTATTTGATGCCTTGCACAGGGGAGAGCACCAACTCTTGTAGCAAAGTGTAAGTGGACAAAGAGATTTAGTTTTGTGGAATAAACACTCATGGTTATGGCGAGTGACCCAACGTGATCAGAGGTGGCGAGAGCCGCAGAGGAACTCATGACAGGCTATACCATGTTGCGGAATGGGGGCGTGGGGAACGGAGGTCAGACCTGTATGCTGCGCTGGTCCAACCGTATCCGCCTCACGTGGCTCAGTTTTACGCTCTTCATTATCCTGGTTTTCTTCCCCCTCATTGCTCACTATTATCTCACCACACTGGATGAGGCTGATGAGGCAGGCAAGAGGATTTTTGGCCCACGGGCTGGTAATGAGCTCTGCGAGGTAAAGCATGTGCTGGATCTCTGTCGCATCCGCGAGTCTGTAAGTGAAGAGCTCTTACAGCTGGAAGCCAAGCGGCAAGAGCTGAACAGTGAAATCGCCAAGCTGAACCTGAAGATTGAAGCCTGTAAGAAGAGTATTGAGAATGCCAAGCAGGACCTGCTGCAGCTCAAGAATGTCATTAGCCAGACCGAACATTCCTACAAGGAGCTGATGGCCCAAAATCAGCCCAAGCTTTCTCTGCCCATCCGATTGCTCCCAGAGAAGGATGATACCGGCCTTCCCCCTCCAAAGGTCACGCGAGGGTGTCGGCTGCACAACTGTTTTGATTATTCTCGTTGCCCTCTCACCTCTGGCTTCCCAGTGTATGTGTATGACAGTGACCAGTTTGCCTTTGGCAGCTACCTGGATCCTTTAGTCAAGCAGGCTTTTCAGGCTACAGCACGAACCAACGTATATGTTACAGAAAATGCAGACATTGCCTGCCTGTATGTGATATTGGTGGGAGAAATGCAGGAGCCTGTAGTCCTGCAGCCTGCCGACCTTGAGAAGCAGTTGTATTCTCTTCCGCATTGGCGGACAGATGGACACAATCATGTCATCGTCAGTCTGTCCCGGAAATCAGACACGCAGAATTTACTGTATAACATCAGCACGGGCCGTGCCATGGTGGCCCAGTCCACCTTTTATGCTGCCCAGTACAGACCTGGCTTTGACTTGGTAGTATCGCCACTAGTCCATGCCATGTCAGAACCCAACTTCATGGAAATCCCACCACAGGTGCCCGTCAAGCGGAAATATCTCTTCACTTTCCAGGGTGAGAAGATTGAGTCCCTGAGATCCAGCCTTCAGGAGGCTCGCTCGTTTGAAGAAGAAATGGAGGGTGATCCTCCTGCTGACTATGATGATCGGATCATTGCCACGCTAAAGGCAGTCCAGGACAGTAAGCTAGATCAGGTCCTCGTAGAATTTACCTGCAAAAACCAGCCTAAGCCCAGTCTGCCTACTGAGTGGGCATTGTGTGGGGAGCGGGAGGACCGCTTAGAATTACTGAAGCTTTCCACCTTTGCCCTCATCATTACTCCTGGGGACCCTCGCTTGGTTATTTCATCTGGGTGTGCAATACGGCTCTTTGAAGCCCTGGAGGTCGGTGCTGTCCCAGTTGTGCTGGGGGAGCAAGTACAGCTTCCTTACCAAGACATGCTGCAGTGGAATGAGGCGGCCCTGGTGGTGCCCAAGCCACGGGTGACTGAGGTTCACTTCCTGTTACGAAGTCTCTCTGATAGTGATTTACTGGCTATGAGGCGCCAAGGCCGGTTTCTCTGGGAGACTTACTTCTCCACTGCTGACAGTATTTTTAACACTGTGCTGGCTATGATTCGGACTCGCATACAGATCCCAGCTGCTCCTATCCGGGAAGAGGTAGCAGCCGAGATTCCCCACCGTTCAGGCAAAGCTGCTGGAACTGACCCCAACATGGCTGACAATGGGGACCTGGACCTGGGGCCGGTAGAGACGGAGCCACCTTACGCCTCACCCAGATACCTCCGCAACTTCACTTTGACTGTCACTGACTTTTACCGCAGCTGGAACTCTGCTCCAGGGCCTTTCCATCTCTTCCCCCACACTCCCTTCGACCCTGTGTTGCCCTCAGAGGCCAAATTCTTGGGCTCAGGGACTGGATTTCGGCCTATTGGTGGTGGAGCTGGGGGTTCTGGCAAGGAGTTTCAGGCAGCGCTTGGAGGCAATGTGCCACGAGAGCAGTTCACGGTAGTGATGTTGACTTACGAGCGAGAGGAAGTGCTTATGAACTCCTTAGAGAGACTCAATGGCCTTCCTTACCTGAACAAGGTAGTGGTGGTGTGGAATTCTCCCAAGCTGCCATCAGAGGACCTTCTGTGGCCTGACATTGGCGTCCCCATCATGGTAATAAAAGAATGTGCTTTACTGCATGGAACAGTATTTTAATTCCTTTCCCACCTTTCTTTACTTAGCTCTTCTTTTAGTAGAAAGGAATTTGCTTAAACTGTTTTCTAAACCTTTTCTCCATGAGGTTTCTGCTTGTTATTTTTTCAGGCCTTGCCAGTTCCATTGCTGCTGCTCCTTTTGTTGGTCTCCTGAGATCCACTAAAGCTGGAGTTGATACTGGACTCATGAGAATTTACAAAACCCTTTCAGTTTTCATCCAAGTCCTAACAAAGTCGATGATGATGATAAGTGATGGGAAAGCTAGTTTATGATTTAGGCACTGTTACTAGCATTATGTGACTTATCTTATTATCACTGTTTCTTCACTTTATATCTGTGGAAACTGAGGCTTAGAAAGGTTAATTAATTTGCTCCAGGTCACGGTAAGTAATGGAGGAGCTGAGCGTTAGTAGGTCTGATTCCAGGAGCTGGAGTTTTAATCATTCCCCCAAAGGATTTGAGAAGACCTGTGTCCTATACTTGGATATTATAGAAGCTTTTTTTGAAGACTAGAATTGGGGTTTGATAATTGGGAGTTGGAGATTCTGAACCTTCTTTTCTAGATTGTCTTGCAGGTTCTTCTCATTCTTTATTTCTTTATTTATTTTTTGACAGGCAGAGTGGACAGTGAGAGAGAGAGACAGAGAGAAAGGTCTTCCTTTTGCCACTGGTTCATCCTCCAATGGCCGCCGCGGCCGGCGCATCGCGCTGATCCGAAGGCAGGAGCCAGGTACTCATCCTGGTCTCCCATGGGGTGCAGGGCCCAAGGACCTGGGCCATCCTCCACTGCATTCCCTGGCCACAGCAGAGAGCTGGCCTGGAAGAGGGGCAACCGGGACAGAATCCGGCGCCCCGACCGGGACTAGAATCCCGTGTGCCGGCGCCGCAAGGCGGAGGATTAGCCTAGTGAGCCGCGGCGCTGGCTCATTCTTTATTATATCTATCATGGTTAAGTGCTATATTTTACAGGAACGACAATAACTAAAAATACAGGATAGGACATTTCTTTCTGAGGACTTTGTGTATCCACCTGCTGACTTAAACTTGGCAATCTAGAAGAAAGATGGCAGCCATCTCTCTTAAACATGAGGCTTTAGAGCAAGTCTTAAGCAAATTGCCAACTACTTAACCTGCAGTATAGGTAGTTTTCAGAAAAAGGAAGCAAAGAATGGCAAGAAAGGTCTGTGCATTGCTGGAAGATTGCTTAAGAAAATTAGTAGTTTGTAGGGAAGGTTTGTCTGGAAGGGGAATATTTCAGCTACTCAGTTCCAAAAAATTTAGTTCATTGCTGAATTACTTCATTTGCAATATCTACTAAGTAGTAGCATGATATGATAGAAAAAGTGATTTTGAACCGATGTAGTCCTGGGGTAAAGTAATTGTTTTGCCATCTTTGGTTGGCTACTTAACTTCTTTGACCTGCCTTCTAGGAAAATGGCACTAATTATAATACATCTCAGAATACTTTTTCCACCTAAATTCAGACATCCCCTATTATGTTATGGTTAACAGGTCTTTACAAAATGAGCAGCAAGCAAACTCCCAGATTCTAGTCCCTCAGGGAAAAGTGACTTAAAATCAGCATATTAGCTAAATGAATCAACTCTGGAGCCTCTCTGCCATTTCAGAAAATGCTGGCCTGTTTGTACTTATGCTCAGGTTCTCAAATAAGCAGTAGTTGTAAATACCAAATCTCTGTGGGCTGTGAAATCTGGTGAGCCTGAGCCATTTAGGTGGAGAAGCATTGTGTTAGGGGTACCTGATAGAACCCACATATTAAATTTTATCATTGCCTTTTTTTTTTTTTTTTTTTTTTTTTAACAGGCAGAGTGGACAGTGAGAGAGAGAGACAGAGAGAAAAGTCTTTCTTTTCCATTGGTTCACCCCCCAGTGGCTGCTGCGGCCGGCGCACCGCGCTGATCCGAAGCCAGGAGCCAGGTGCTTCTCCTGGTCTCCCATGTGGGTGCAGGGCCCAAGCACTTGGGCCATCCTCCACTGCCCTCCTGGGCCACAGCAGAGAGCTGGACTGGAAGAGGAGCAACCGGGACAGATCCGGCGCCCCGACCGGGACTAGAACGCGGTGTGCCGGCGCCGCAAGGTGGAGGATTAGCCTAGTGAGCCGTGGCGCCGGCCAATTGCTTTCTAATAATTATTTGCATAACTAAGGGATCTGGCTTAGAGTGAAGGTGGTGTTTATTGGGATTTTCCTTAGGTAAGTCCTGTGCTCTATGTGGAGGGAATTTCAGCTTGAATAGGACAGTTGCTGGCAAGGAAACAGGGTCTTCAGCGGTGGGAGAGGCTCCACCAGTTAAAGTGAGCTCTCTCAAAGCTGTAGGACTACCGAACAGAGAGATCTGCTCTCTTTCTCTCTGTTTCTTCCCTTTTTTATTAACAGTTGAGTCTGTGTCTTTAGCTCCTGGAGCACAACAACAAAGATAACTAATGGAAGTGAGATGGAGAATTTATTGTGCCAAGGGATTTGTGGTCTGGTGTTTTGGAAAACTACCCCCCTAGATTGGAGCCCATACTTGTCACAACAGCTTAAAGATGTTCCATTGTTTCCAGACCTCTATGGTTTCTGATGGTATGTCAGTGTTTTTTTTTTTTTTTCCTGTTTTGTTTTTTTCTTCAGATTTTTACTTTCGTATATGAAATGTGTGATTTTCTTTGGCTGCTTGCAAGGTGTTTTCTTCTTTGTTTTTCAGTAGTTTGTCTAGTATATGCCTTGGCATAATTTTCTTTGATTTTTGTTTTAGTAGCCAGTTACTTTGGTTGCACTCGAACTGAAGGTTCTGTCTCTGAAATGACAACACGAATGTTGTTGGGTTGGTTTGTATTTAGCTAGTTTGCTGACAGACGACACCAAACATGCATGTTTTAGGAGTGAGCCAGAGACTGGGCAGTTTACACATAAAATCTGGAGCTCTGCTCTTCTGGCTCTCTCCTGTCTGGAATTTCCCTCCTCCTTTCCAGAGGAAGGGTTGCTCCAAACTCTTTACTCTTATTCTCCAGGCCAGAAAGACTGGGTTTTATATGAGAATTTCAGCCGTCCTTCTGCGTGCCAGTTCTGGCCTGCTCTCCAGGGTAAAAGCAACAGAAACTCTTCCTGTAGCAGTAATTCTCTCCCTGTACTTTTATTTATTTATTTTTTTAATTTCTGTCCAGAGTTGATCATCATCTGTAGGAGAACTGAGTATGGTAGGTGCTGACTCAGCCCTCCTGGAAGCAGAAACCTTCAAGCTGTCCCTTTTTGATACAGAGACCCACAAAAAATTAGATTTGTGTTACTGCTTTATTCTGACCAGTTTACTTATCTTCCTTATTTGTGCTTTATATTTGGGATGATATGAGGGCTTTTTTTTTTTTTTTTTTAAAACAGGCAGAGTAGTGAGAGAGAGAGACAGAGAAAGGTCTTCCTTTTTCCATTGGTTCACCCCCCAAGTGGCTGCTATGGCCGTTGCAGCCAGTGCACTGTGCCAATCTGAAGCCAGGAGCCAGGTGCTTCCTCCTGGTGTCCCTTGTGGGTGCAGGGCCCAAGCACTTGGGCCATCCTCCACTGCACTCCCTGGCCACAGCAGAGAGCTGGCCTGGAAGAGGAGCAACCGGGACAGAATCCGGCACCCCAACTGGGACTAGAACCCAGGTTTCTGGCGCTACAGGCGGAGGATTAGCTTATTGAGCCGCGGCACTGGCCCGATATGAGGGCATTTTAAAAAGTTCATGGAAAATGTAATGAAAACATAACATGCATTTTCCATGGATACTTTGTAGTAATAAATAGGACCTTTTTAGAGCATTTTGTGGAAATGATAATGCAATATTTATCCTTTTTGAGTTTTAATACTTGGGCTGTTAAGAAAAGGACATCTTTGAGTTGTTAACAGTGTAGTTCAGCTCAAAACAGTGCTCAGCCTCATCCTGCCTACTCATTTCTAAGTCTTTTGACATCTACTCTTGGAGTCTTAATTTTACATTCTCTTCTCCATAAAGGGTACAGCTAATTTACACGGTGTGCCTGGGAAGGGCTCTTTGAAGAGGTGACTTTTGAGCAGAAACTTGCTTCAAGTGAGAGAATGGACCGTCTAACTTCTGAGGAATATGGAGGGAACAGCAAGTTTGAGCAGCAACACCCAGTGCACCTAGTAGAGGAGTTGATGAGGAGAGTTTGAAAGGAAAGCAGCCAGGGTCCAAGCACGCAGACTGTAGACACTGTGGTGGAGAGTCTAGGTTTTCTCCTCTGTATGTTCAGAGGTCATCGTGGGGTCCTGAGCAGGGGCATCACATGATATGTGGTCCTGTGGGGAAAGGGCTACATAGCCTAGGTGAAGGTTGAGGGTGGCTTGGAATGGGGCAGTGGTGGTAGAGATGGTGATTTCAGAGATAAGCATATAACATGTCCTTAGTGGATGCCAGGCTCTCTGAGGGAGTGGTAAGGAAGGGCCAGAATGCACCATTTTTTCCAAATGAAAACTCTGGAGCTAGGATATTATTTTTTACTGCCCCTTTCTCTCCATTCCAACTTTGATATTAAAATTGAATAAGAAAGTTCTGTTTTGGAAACTTAAATGTCACACCTTTTTTTTTTTTTATAAACTTTTAAGTAAAATTAGATTACTTAAATGTAATTTTTTAAAGATTTTATTTATTTTACTTGAAAGAGTTAGAGAGAGAGGAGACACATACACACACACACACACACACACACACACAGAGAGAGAGAGAGAGAGAGAGGTCCTCCATCCAATGGTTCACTTCCCAATTGGCTGCAACGGCCGGAGCTGTGCCAATCCAAAGCCAGGAGCCAGGAGCTTCTTCCAGGTCTCTCACGTGGGTGCAGGGGTCCAAGACTTGGGCCATCTTCCACTGCTTTCCCACGCCATAACAAAGAGCCAGATTGGAAGAGGAGCAGCCGGGTCTTGAACCTGTGCCCATATGGGATGCTGGCACTGCAGGCCAGGGCATTAATGGCGCCGGCCCTTTAATGTAATTTTAATAGTGTTTTCCCAGTAGTCTGTTAGGGAAAAGGAGAGAACACAGATGGGAAGCTGCCTTGGTAGTCTGCTCATGGCATCATGAATTTTCCAACTTGGGACTCTGCCTTTCAGGCTGTTGGAAGACTTGACCTTGGGCAGAGGAGAGATCATTCTAAAGCCCTGCTTCTCAGAAAGTTGGTAAGTTGGGACCTGTGTTGTGGTATAGTGGGTTAAGCTGCTGGCATCCTATATGAGTGCTGGTTTGAGTCCAGGCTGCTCCACTTCTGATCCAGTCCCCTGCTAATACACCTGGGAAAGCAGTAGAAGATGGCCCAACTACTTGAGATCCTGCTACCCACTTGGGAGACCTGGATGGAGTTTCAGGTTCCTGGCTGTGGCCTGGCCCAGCCTTGGTGGTTGTGGTCATTTGGGGAGAACCAGTGCATGGAAGATGGCTGTCTCTTCTTTCTCTGTAATTCTGCCTTTCAAATAAATACATCTTTAAAAAAAGTAAAGTTGATAAGCTTGGTTTTTAAAATCATACCTTTATTTTTTCCAAAGATTTATTTATTTGAAAGAGTTACACAGGGGTGGGAGGGAGAGCGAGAGAGCGAGCAAGAGAGCACAAGTGTACAAACTTCCATCCACTGGTTCACTCCCCAGATGGCCACAATGGCCAGGGCTGAGCCAGATCAAAGCCAGGATCCAGGAGCTTCTTCTGGGTCTCCTACATGGGGGCAGGGGCCCAAATACTTGGGCCATCCTCTACTGCCTTTCCCAGGCCATTAGCAGGGAGCTGGATGAGAAATGGAACAGCTGGAACATAATTGGCACCCATTATGGGATACCAGTGTCATAGGAGGTGGCTTTACCCACCCTGCCATAATGCCAGTCCCTGATCTTTCTATCATCCTTCAGATGATGATTTCATAAAGTTGTGAATTCTAGGTAAAGCTAACAGGAAAAACCTTGTCCAGCTTCTGAAGTCCAAGACCAAGCAAAATCTGACAGGCTTTGCTAGGTATTGGTGTATCTGGGTGATTTGGACTTTTGACAGTATTTACTAACTCGGTGGCTATCACCGTGGTTTTCTCTTTCTGTTTGTGAATGGACTGCAAGGTTGCAAAGGAAAATCATATAAAACAAAGCTATAAAAAATCAGATGGCCGGCGCGGTGGCTCAATAGGCTAATCCTCCGCCTGCAACACCGGCACACTGGGTTCTAGTCCCAGTTGGGGCTCCAGATTCTGTCCCGGTTGCTCCTCTTCCAGTCCAGCTCTCTGCTGTGGCCTGGGAGTGTAGTGGAGGATGGCCCAAGTGCTTGGGCCCTGCACCCACATGGGAGACCAGGAGAAGCACCTGGCTCCTGGCTTCGGATCAGCGTGGTGTGCTGGTCGCAGCGCACCGGCCGCAGCAGCCATTGGGGGGTGAACCAACAGAAAAAGGAAGATCTTTCTCTCTGTCTCTCTCTCACTGTCCACTCTGCCTGTCCAAAAAAAAAAAAAAAAAAAATCAGAAATCAGTAGCAAAAATGATAGAAATTTAAAGGAATTGCAAAAAAGTCATGTTGTGCAAGTAATTTACTAATTGTGGTACATCAATTCTTTTTTTAAAACTTATTTGAAAGGGAAAGTTAGGGAGGGAGAGAGCGAGAGATATCGAGAGATCAAGAGATCTGTCTGTGGGTTCACTCCCCAGATGGCTGCAATGGCTAGGCCTGGGCCAGGCTGAATCCAAGAGCCCAGAGCTGCTTCTAGGTCTCCCACATTGGTATGCAGGCTTAAGCACTTGGGCCATCTTCCACTGCTTTCCTTGGTGCATTAGCAAGTAGCTGGATGGGAACTGGAGCAGCTGAACTCTAAGCAGTGCCCACGTGGGATGCTGGGGTCTCAGCTGTGGTATAAGCTACTATTGCCAAAATCCTGGCCCTGTCACATCAATTCTTTAAGTTATATCTCCCTGTCTCTCTCTCTCTCTCTTTTTTTTTTAAAGGTTTATTTTTATTAATTTGAAAGGAGGAGTGATATGGAGAGCAGAGATCTTCCATCTCCTGGCTCATTCCCCAAATGACTGCAACAGCCAGGGCTGGGCCAGGCCAAAGCCAGGAGCCAGGAGCTCCATCTGGGTGTCCCATGTGGATGGCAGGGGCTCAAGTACTTGAGCCATCTTCTGCTTTTCCAGGTGTGTTGGCAGAGAGCTGGAAGTGGAGCACCTGGGACTCGAACTGGTGCTCTGATGCGGGATGCCAGCAGTGGCTTAACCCAGTATACCAAAATGTGGGACCCTCTGATAAACTCTCGACTACTTCGAAGTGAAGAATCTGGGGCTGTAAGAATTTCAGGTCATGTGGTTCATTAATACCTAACTATGACTGGGTTTCAGGACTTTTGACCATAATTCAGTGTTTGTTTATTTTTTACCAAGTCAGAAATTCTTGGAAAGGCACAAACTTGTTTCTAAATAAATAATAAGTTACATATTTAGATATGACTAAATGTGTCAAAATTAAAATATATGTATAAAATATATATGTAAAACATATCACAAACTAGGAAGGGGCTGTGCCAATCTCATATGATAATGGCAACAATTTCTCAGCATTTTCAATGTGCCGTATATGGTTTTCATGTGCTTTGATGCTGACTCTCACTTAAGCTATTTTACATGTAGTTTCATAGAGATCAGTGGCAACTTTTATAAATTAAAACAGGCTGTCTCAAAAGTTAAAGCAGGCCGGCGCCGCGGCTCAATAGGCTAATCCTCCGCCTAGCGGCGCCGGCACACCGGGTTCTAGTCCCGGTCGGGGCGCCGGATTCTGTCCCGGTTGCCCCTCTTCCAGGCCAGCCCTCTGCTGTGGCCAGGGAGTGCAGTGGAGGATGGCCCAGGTGCTTGGGCCCTGCACCCCATGGGAGACCAGGAAAAACACCTGGCTCCTGGCTCCTGCCATCGGATCAGCGCGGTGCGCTGGCCGCAGCGCGCCGGCCGCGGCGGCCATTGGAGGGTGAACCAACGGCAAAGGAAGACCTTTCTCTCTGTCTCTCTCTCTCACTGTCCACTCTGCCTGTCAAAAAAAAAATAAAAAAAAATAAAAAAAAAAAAAGTTAAAGCATACACCATTTTTAAAATACCGCAGTAGGCCCATATTTGGAGTTAAAAATGGAAAACTTGATTCACCATCTTACTTTCTTATTCCTTTCCATTCCTCCTTGGTGTTTTCTAGTTTTTGCCCCCACCACTTGATATTTATTGAATGACCAAGAATCCGTAGAGTAACCTAGAGGTTGAAATGCTGCTGCTTTTTTCCAGTGTCCTCTCTGCCACTCACCTTTTCACCCACTCACCTCAAGCGTTGTCTCACTCTTGATGGAGGCACATATGACTGTGTGCCTCATCTGGTACTTCCTTTTTTGATTTCCAAGCTCTAAGTTAGAGGAGGGCGGTGATGGGAGACTAAAGTTAGTTGTCATTTCCCTTTCTGGCCTGTATGACATAGGTTTGATGTACATTCATTTTCAGGTATGGATTCATGACAGAAGTACATCATGCGTGTGTACATATTGTTGGAGGCTGAAGGTTGTTGGGCTTGGCTGGGCCAAGTGCAATCTAAAAGAGAAAAAGGACATTTAAGTGTGTTTAAGTTGCTAAATTTAGTGGTGATGGGATTCTAGGCCTTTGCTGTCCTGTTCCATTGTGATGAGAAGAAAGGTCTGATGAGAGAAGTCAACACTTTGATGTGTGATGGTAAAACAGAAAAACTAGTGAGGTATTGTAAGGGAGCACTGTATGTGAAATAGGAAAAATGAATGGTAGTGAGCTCCTCACTTGATTGTTAGAGGTTGATGGACTTTTTGCTATCGAAAACTACATTACATACTAAGAACTTTCCTGATTACTTCCTAGTGATATCATTTTTTAATATTATAAAATATATTGGATGTTTAAATGTGGTTCTGATCTGTAAACTTCCCAAGTCTTTAGTCCATATTCTGCGAATAGAATGACAGGACTAAGTTGTGTTTCATTTTTGTCTCATTCATTGTTTATGAAATCTTTGGAGAACATCTATATGTCAAGCACTATTCTCAGTTCATCTGGTCAGTATCATACTAGTAATTAAAGCAATAATTTGAAAGTCTTCACAAGTTACCAAAGTAATCATAAAGTGTCTAATAATAGCAATACAGTATACAAGCATGGAGAAATAGCCAGTGTTATGGTGGGGAGTGTTTGCTTGTTTGAGAGATAGAAAAGACTGGGGAAGAGGGAGAGCAAGAGCACTCACATCAACTGATTGGTTCAGTGGCTGGAGCTGAGGCTGGGCCTCGTTGAAGCAGGGAGCCAGGAACTCAAGCCAAGTCTCCCAGGAACCCATCTACCTGACCTATCACCACTGCCTCTCAGACTGCATTAGCAAGAAATTAGTCAGGAGACAAAGGTCGGCTTTGAGCCTATGTACTCAAATATGGGATGTGGGCAGTCTTAATGAGCGTCTTAACTCCTAGGCCAAATGCCTGCCCTGAGAGTGTTATTTTATTTTAAAACAAAACATAAAAATGAGAATATTTCTCTCTTTTTTAATTTAAAAATTATTTATTTGAGAAATAAAAAAGGGAGGGTGACACAGAGATCTCCCATCTGCCACTTTATTCTTGATGCTTGCAGCAGTGGGGGCTTGGCCAGACTGAAGCTGGGCGCTGGGAACTCAACCTAGGCCTCCTGTGTTGGAGACAGTGATCCAAGTACTTGTACCCGGGAGCTTGTGGCTTCCTAGGGTGCTCATTTCTAGGAAGCTAAAATTGGGAGTGTAACTGGGACCTGAACCCAGGCACTGTGATATCACCCCAAGTGGTGTGTTACAAATGCTCGCCTCACGAATCTTCCCTAAATTCTTAGAGGCCTGTGGTGATCTGCGTGTCTACACTTAAGAATTTTGTCTTGTCCTTCAGCTTTTGGCACCAGCACTGATAATGGTTGATTTTCTGAGCCTTTGTCTAGCTTTAAGTATTACAGCTTTGAAGCAAAAGCATTGGAAGAAAGCCTTTACCTCTCACTCCACAGTTTTAGTTTGTATTTGGAAAGCTTTTACGGGCTGAAATGTCCTTGTGGTTATGGGGAAAAGGTGATTGTCCTTAGATAAGGAACTACAGTTATTCTGCAAAGTACCATTTGCTTTACTGTCTTCTGCGGGTTGACTTTAA